CTAACGGGACTTTTGAATCGTGTATGAAAAAGATAAAGATAAGGATCCTCATCATAGCCGTCGCATCTCTTTTGAATCGTATATGAAAAACATAAAGATATGAACTCATCATAGCCGTCGCTCATCATCGTCATCATCACGGTCATCATCATCGACGATAACCATCATCGTGCAATAATGATGACTACACGTACATCCTCTGCATCACCAACAGTCATGATGATAATGATGACTACGCACCCTCTGCATCTCCAATCTCATCATCACCGTTATCATCATCGATGATAACCATCATCGTGCGTCCTCATCGATGATAACCATCATCGTGCATCCTCTGCGTCACCAACAGTCATGATGATAATGATGACTACGCGCCCTCTGCCTCTCCAATCGGGTCTAACGGGACTTTTGAATCGTATATGAAAAAGATAAGGATCCTCATCATAGCCGTGGCCCATCATCGTCATCATCACGGTCATCAAAAAGATAAGGATCCTCATCATAGCCGTGGCCCATCATCGTCATCATCACGGTCATCATCATTGATGATAACCATCATCGTGCATCCTCTGCATCACCAACAGTCATGATGATAATGATGACTACGCGTGCATCCTCTGCATCACCAACAGTCATGATGATAATGATGACTACGCACCCTCTGCATCTCCAATCTCATCATCACCGTTATCATCATCGATGATAACCATCATCGTGCATCCTCTGCATCACCAACAGTCATCATGATAATGATGACTACGCACCCTCTGCATCTCCAATCGGGTCTAACGGGACTTTTGAATCGTATATGAAAAACATAAAGATAAGGATCCTCATCATAGCCGTCGCTCATCATCGTTTTTGCTCCGGGCTGTCACAAGATAATGCCCCCCCCGTCCACCCCTGCGTGCACTATGATAAGCTATGACAAGCTATGATAAACTATGATAAGCAATAATGATGAACTCTGATGAACTATGATAAACTATGATTCTATGATAGATTATAGTAAATTAGGAAAAGGGATGATGATGAACTATGATAACTTATGATGAATTATGATATGGTGTGATGATGAACTATGATGAACTAGCCGTGGCCCATCATCGTCATCATCACAGTCATCATCATCGATAATAACCATCATCGTGCATCCTCTGCATCACCAACAGTCATGATGATAATGATGACTACGCGGGCATCCTCTGCATCACCAACAGTCATGATGATAATGATGACTACGCACCCTCTGCATCTCCAATCTCATCATCACCGTTATCATCACCGATGATAACCATCATCGTGCATCCTCTGCATCACCAACAGTCATCATGATAATGATGACTACGCACCCTCTGCATCTCCAATCGGGTTCTAACGGGACTTTTGAATCGTATATGAAAACATAAAGATAAGGATCCTCATCATAGCCGTCGCTCATCATCGTCATCATCACGGTCATCATCATCGATGATAACCATCATCGTGCATCCTCTGCATCACCAACAGTCATGATGATAATGATGACTACGCACCCTCTGCATCTCCAATCTCATCATCACCGTTATCATCATCGATGATAACCATCATCGTGCATCCTCATCGATGATAACCATCATCGTGCATCCTCTGCATCACCAACAGTCATCATGATAATGATGACTACGCACCCTCTGCATCTCCAATCGGGTCTAACGGGACTTTTGAATCGTGTATGAAAAAGATAAAGATAAGGATCCTCATCATAGCCGTCACATCTCTTTTGAATCGTATATGAAAAACATAAAGATATGAAAAACATAAAGATAAGGATCCTCATCATAGCCGTCGCTCATCATCGTCATCATCACGGTCATCATCATCGATGATAACCATCATCGTGCAATAATGATGACTACACGTACATCCTCTGCATCACCAACAGTCATGATGATAATGATGACTACGCACCCTCTGCATCTCCAATCTCATCATCACCGTTATCATCATCGATGATAACCATCATCGTGCGTCCTCATCGATGATAACCATCATCGTGCATCCTCTGCGTCACTAACAGTCATGATGATAATGATGCCTCTGCCTCTCCAATCGGGTCTAACGGGACTTTTGAATTGTATATGAAAAAGATAAGGATCCTCATCATAGCCGTGGCCCATCATCGTCATCATCACGGTCATCAAAAAGATAAGGATCCTCATCATAGCCGTGGCCCATCATGGTCATCATCACGGTCATCATCATTGATGGTTGATTATGACTCATTTGACTGCCAAACCTGATGTTTTGGGTGCCAAAACAGGCTTTGGCCAAATGGGGATTTTGGCAATGTTTTCTGCCACCTCAACAGCTCGGATCGCCAAAAGGAATCGAATTAAAAGGAGAACCATCATCGTGCATCCTCTGCATCACCAACAGTCATGATGATAATGATGACTACGCGTGCATCCTCTGCATCACCAACAGTCATGATGATAATGATGACTACGCACCCTCTGCATCTCCAATCTCATCATCACCGTTATCATCATCGATGATAACCATCATCGTGCATCCTCTGCATCACCAACAGTCATCATGATAATGATGACTACGCACCCTGTGCATCTCCAATCGGGTCTAACGGGACTTTTGTGTGATGATGATGACCATGTCATCATCACCATGATGGTGGTCATTATCGTCATCATCATCATCATCGTCATCATCATCGTCGTCATCATCGCCATCATCATCGGCATCACTACGCATCCTCTGCATCTCCAACCGGGTCTAACAGCACGCTTGAAACGTATATGACACAGATCTGATCAGATAGGAGAAAGATAAGGATGACAACGATAATAGTAGCTCGGAAAATAACTATCATCGTAGCATCCTCTGCATCACCAATGCTTTCTAACCCCACACTTGAAAGGTGTAGAAAGACACATCTTTGAGGTGCAAAGGATGCTACGATGACGGTATTGCTTACGCTGATAATGTTGAATCTTCGGATATGCTCATTTACCAACCCACCTTGGACTTGTGCTGTAACCACCCTTCCCGTGCGCCTCCCCCTTTGAGGAGAAGGGGTCGGCGGATACATATACACATGTACATATCCGCCTATGTATATGTATGTCTCCACGGCGGCCATTCGGAGGCAGGCAGGGACTTCTACAAGACTCTGGGGGTGCCCCGGAGCTCGGAAGCCCAGCCCGGTCAGACGCGAGCGTGGTTCATTCGCCCTTCCGGCTGAGGGAAAGGAAGCCGACCGGGGGGGGGGGGGGGCGCTTAGTGGAGGCAGACCCATGAGCCAAAAAGAGCCAGAGTTACCTTGGTGTGCCACAATCAAAACTCAAAACCCGGGATTTAGATGAAGGCCAGTAAAGGATAGTCCAAACCATGAGTCGTTGCAGCCGCCTTTTTGATACTTTACATGGTTCTGGGTAGACCATTTGATACCAGGCTGAGATTCTGACTCAGGCCACTACTAGGCACGCTTGCATCATTTGTTGGCTCATGTACCCGAAAGAACGAAGGCGTGCACTGGGTCGCGCCACGTGCTTCATGGCAGACCTTATACGTGCTCCACTTTTTGGGAGCCAAGGGAACAGCTGGCCAAGGGATCCCTGAATTTGTGATAAGAAGTTATCATGCGGAAATCACAGACTTTGGTACCACAAAACGGATCGAGTTCCGCAGCCATGTTGAGAGTTTGCTTTGCCGTTCTTGGTAGTGGCAACCCGGACCGCGGAGCAATGATTCTGTTGATGACTCGGAGGATCCGCAGCCGTGCGATTTGTTCTTGGAGAGAGTTGCCAGTACTTGTCCGATTGTTTTTTTCCTTGCATCAAACACAAGTGGTTTTGTTCTAGGAAGATACCCCCAGTATACATCCCCAAAGGTGATCGCCTTCATTACTGAGCCGTTGGCACCGCGAGACACCTGGCTCGTCGGGAGAGGGGACCTTAGCCTTTTTCAGGCCCAAGCTTGTTTGTTTTTGATCCCGCCACTTTACCCTCCCACCAACTAACATGGAAGTGCAAAAAAGGCCCTTTCCAAGAGGAAAGTCGGTTTTTCTACAGGGCTCTGTGCACTTCCATGTTAGCTGGTGGGAGGGTACACGTTTGTGAAATTGGCGCGCAAATCAGGCTGGAGTGGAGCAAGCCGGTCCCCGCCCCCCCCACTTTGCCTTAGGTGCCTCCCAACAGCAGATCAAGAAGGCACGCGCTTGCTGGTTTTATCGGTGTGTGGGAAAGGCTTAATAATGCGGGAGGGGGGATAAGTGATTACAAACAACCTGACATCCTTGAGTGTTGAAGACTGCCACCCCCATTCTAATTGGTTAGCCCTTTCTGTCAACCCATCCTTGGTTGATTTAAACTGTCAGCAACAGATTTGCAGGGTTGTTGAACGCACGACGATACTGGGATATCATATCAGCATATCAACCAGGCAAAAAAGAACGGGAATCAATAGTGGCAATTATATAATAGAATGGTACACACAAATTGGATAATGTTGGTTTTGGATGTTCATGCTTATTTGCAATCCATATGCCCACTGTGCTGCAGTTTTACGACGTGTGTATGCATTTCAAAAGAATTCTCAACGTAATCCAAAGTTTCAATGATGAAATATGTTTTTGCATAAGCAACTCATGAAAGTCGTTTGCAAAGATGCATGGTCACTGATTAAACTGCAACTGGCCCTAACCAAGATACTTGATCTGTCGAACAGTTGTTTCTTGCTTCTTCTTCTTTTTGTGGTGTGATTTTTGAAACACAAGTAACGCACCTAGTATTTACGAATTCTCTACGAGGTCACAGAGGAGCGGACGTGTGTTTTGTTCTTGTTTCTTCTTGGCCCCTATTTTGCGGAGTCCCGGGTGGGAAGTTGAGAGGCGTAGGGTTCCTCGGGAATTGGGTTCGCTGGATTTCCTTAGGGAGCCTTAGGAAATCAAAGGGCCAAGCATCTGACAGCATGGGTTGTCCCCTTCAGGCGCCCGGAGCCTCATGTCTCCCACACGGTTTGATGAAGGCATATCAAGGCGCAAGCTGAGCACCGACCGAGGCCAGATCATTCACATCGCCATGATGCCATGTGTGGGTGGGAAACAGGGGGCTGCCTGATTAAAGTCAGTTAGGGCTAAATTGCTAAATATGCGCCTGAAGCAGGTCTTTGGGAGAGGTGGCCGGTTTCTGAAAGTTCCGGATGTTTGACCTGAGCGCGTTTCGACGCTGTTTCGCAATGCTCCGTTCGCCCGCGTCGATGTGGGGGAGGCGTATAGGAAGCTGTCGATGAAGTATCATCCGGACAAGAACCAGGACAACAAGGCGCCTCGATGAGCGACTCGTTCGTCCAAGCCCGGCTCGATACGGGTGTGGGTCAAAAATGGGTACTCAAAATGCAACCCAGGTAAATGAAAACCAAGACTAAAACCTGCGGTCCCCTGGTGGATTAATTTTTGAACCATACCCATAGGTTGTACCATATGGGTATGTGTGTTTGGGGGCGACCCGAAAATGGTGGCATTCCTTTTGGGGTTTCTTTAAACAAAGCTGAGCAGGGTGCTCTCAAAATACCCGCACCCATTTAGCCTCAGTCTGCTTCAACTGAATTGGCCGCATCAAGGCTCATTCAGTCTTCACTCATTTGTCTTTGCGATCCCGGGTAGAAGCACCAGACAAGGAAGACTGGAACGGGTCATCGTTTTCCATTGGCTTCGGTTGCATTTATTTGTGTTCAATAGCAAGTTCGTATTGGGTGGGGTATCGAGCGAACACATACACGTGTAAGGGCTACTTGTGGCATTGAATCAAACTCAATCACAGCTCCGGGTTTTCCGGTTTGTGTGGACGTTTGAAAGGGGGAGGTCCTTTGCGATTCCCTGATTCTCAGCATTCTTTTCCTCCTTCCTTCGTCCTTTTGGGGAAGGCAATTTTGAAGCCCCACAGCGACTAAAAAGGCCATACTCGCGATCCAAAGGGCTGGTTTTGGCCTGCCAGTTGCCCCAAACCGGGGTAGTAAATAAAGTAGGCCTTGGGTTGACACTTGACATATGACTACACTCCCCTTAAAACTCATGTTGTTGGGGATTGGAGTGTCTCATTTGTTGGGGATTGGGGATGAGGTGTCACAAGGCTTGCTGTAGTTCAACACTCCTGGCCGTACCCGCCCCATTTTGTTCCGGGATTTGTCTTTCCAAAGTGCCTAGGGAAACGGTTGATGTCTGAAGAGGACGGGTGAAGAGAATCGGGTGTGTCTCTGAGCGAGGGAGCCCAAAGGGGTTGGTTTCCCCCTGAGTGAATGAGTGAGTGAGTGAGTGTGCGAGCGAGCGAGCGAGCGAGCGAGCGAGCGAGCGAGGGAGTGATGGTTTCCCCCTTCGTTTCCCTTCGAGCAGCCCAAAATGCGAGTAACTCCCAATCCCAACCGGGACAGCCAGGAGAAGGCGCAGAAGAAGTTCATAGAGATCAGCCACGCCTATGAGGCAGGGCAAGGCAGATTTTTACGAGTTCCAGCAAAGACCCCCTGCTTTTTCCCATCTGATTTTCAGAGCTGGCACCTCAAGAGTGGTGGACAGAAAAAACACCACCGAATTTAAACAAAAATAATGCCATGAACCCGGTCACATTGGCAAATGCTGTCACTGGGATTGTGTTTTTGGTTGCCTTCATCGTGTAGCTACTGCATGCCGTCAGAGTAAAGACTTTTTGAAGGGCATTCAATGTACGTCAGTACTTAGAGACAGTCAAAGACCTAACCAAAGGGCCCCAGCGATTGAACAAACCTGAACTTGACCGTCGCGCGGTTGCCAAGCGTCCTCGACTTTTTGGGTCTTTGATCCTTGGGTGTTCAAGCAAAAAACCATTTTTTTTGGGGGTCGGGTGGGACAGGTCTTGAGCGACCCGGAGAAGAAGTCCAAGTACGACCGGTACGGGGAGGCCTTCTGTGGCCGAAAGCGCTTGGGTGCGTGTGAGGTTTTTTCTTCTTGGGGTTGGTTTAAAAGGGAAGCTAACAGAAACACCCCCTCATTTCTTGGTGGCTCCCAGCCATCCGGTTTCTTAGCTTTTAGCCGTTTGGTGTTTAGTGGTAGTTTCCATTGAACCCACCAAAAGTTAAACTTTTAGCGGGGGATCTGAGGACAGCCCTCATTTTGGGGTTCCCCTATTTTCAGACACCGAAATAGCGGAGATGGGGGTCCGCTGAAATGCTGTGGCGCACTTCGTCAGCCTCCCATCCTGCAATTGGCTGTTGCCTCGCACGGGCAAGCGGCCTTTTATTGGTTGGTTTCAACAGAACTCAAAAGGTGTCCAACTCCCAGTTTGGTTCTTACATGTTCTTGATGGTTTGGCAAGAACTGAGCCACAAGAGACACGAAGGTCAAGGTTTCTCGAAAACATTTCCCCATTGCCACTCTTGTGCTTTCCCCTTGCTACTAGCCGAGCCATCTTAAACTCCTTGTATTGCGAGGGCTGTATCCGCCAGAAGCCAGGATTCGGTAGATCTGCGGATCTGGTCTTAACGCTCTCTTGCAAAAGCTGACTACCATTATTCTTCACGATTATTGGCCTATTTTCAGGCTTTTCGGTTTCTGGTTCTATTCGTTTCGAGGGGGCTGCAAAAACAACACAGGCCCCCCAGTGCCCTTCTACCCTTTTTGGGGGAGGGTTCCCTACAGAAAAAAAAAGGGTCCCCTTATTCTAACCTCTCTACTGGGGGACCTAGACAACCTTTTTTTTGCTACCACACCGAGGGTTGGAGAGCTTTGTCGTTCGGGAGCCCTTGTGCTTGCCGAACCGCGCACCGCGCTGGATGGATTGCTCGATCGAGGCCGGCCTGAACGAGGGCCAGGGCCAGGGCGGCGGCGGGGGCGGCGGCTTTCAAGGCCCGTCCCACGGTCCCTCCTTCTTGGAGATTCCATGGTCCACTGGCCCTTTGTTGGACCTCGGGGGGGTCAACGTCGACCCTCTGTCTCATTCATACAGACCATTTAAGCATTCAAACACTTATCTTGGTGGTTCCCAGCCATCCCCTTAGCTTTTTAGCCTTTTAGTGTTTAGTGGGGATTTTCATTTAACCCACTAAAAGAGAAAAACTTTTAGCGGGGGATCTGAGGGCAGCCCAGTTTCGTATCTCTTCCTGGTAGGGGCATCGCTTCCCTGTAAAGCCTACTACATGTTTGGGGAAGCAAGGTCATACATATTCCTACGGGTCTGTCTTTTGCGAGGGACCCCTTTTTGGCTGGTTCAAATGGACACCAAAAAGCAAACCACCGTTTTAGGAGGTCCCCTAAATAAGACACACCCATATGTTGATAGGCAATTCTGGTTACACGAAAATTTGTTCTGTCGCAAAGCCTACTTTGATTGGCTCAAGCTCAGCATCGAAGCTGCAGACGCATCACGTGTCTCAAGTGGCCATAAGGGGGGAGGGGTCCTCAAGAATGTGGTCCTGGAATTGATTGATTCGTTTCTTTTTGGCTTCCAAATAGCATGGCCAAAGGTCCGAAATTTCCATTTTGACCCTCCAATCTTGGGGGTCCAAACTCGGTTGCCCTGCGTGGTCCAACGAAGGTTTTAGCCTGTTAGAACGTATCGAGCTTTCCCCACCAACCTTTTTGCAGGGTGCCAGTTGCGCCCACCCGGAAACACGGGAGCCATGCTTGGTGGCTTTTTTGGCAAGCCATGGGTAACATGTTGGGAATCATTCCTTTATGGACCCTTAATTGTTGGAGCCAAACGGCAAGACGTCTCTGAATGCCAGTGGGTTAAGCAGACCCCGGCCAGATGACTCTGAAAGGAACCACGTTTGGAACCAAGAGCACTCACACGTAGCTCACTTGGCGATCCACAAAATCTGAGCTTCCGGGGGTTCCCATGGTCCATACTGTGAAGAAAGGAGATCACCTTTTCTTGATTGCTATTGGATTGGATCTTTGGACTTTAGCTTTTGATTGAATTTTTGGGGTGTTCCTTTGAACCAACAAACCATTAAGCACTTTTTGCAGAGGGCTCAACAGCAGCCAAGCTCTATTTTCAGGTTATCTGGGCAGGTGGAGGAATCTCTCTGTCCGTGAATTTTCCCGGGGCAATGGCCGATCCCCAATCGGCGCGCCTTTGGGATGCTCACTCAAGGAGTCCATGGTCCCTTAGGGACGCCAAATGGAAAGCTGCTCGCCATTTGGGTCCCTTTGATTGACACGGGTTCACCGGCGGAATTCCGAAACTCGAAGGCCAGGATCCCTTCGAAATGCCGGGAAGCCTGGCGGACCTTCGCTCGTGAGCGGCGCGATCGGTATGTCGCCCAAAAGGGTGTGGAAACCCACAAGGGAAACCACCCCCCGCTCGTTCACCGGAAAGGGTTGCGTCTATTTTGGGAGGACGGCTTATATTTTCGGAAGCTTGGCACCTCCATGTTGGAGGGTATGCAAGAAGAGAACACCTGAAAGGCTGAATGAAGCTCACATGTTTCATTGGCCAAATCCTGTTAAAGTGTAGTTGGAATGAGAGTGCTCGTGCAGTTGGATGATTTCGCTGGAGCCGCGCGTTTGGTGTTTGGAGCATACGAGGTGCATGGTCCACGCTCGTTCCATCTCCGCAGCGGGTCTGAAAGTGTTCAACGACGAGGGACTTGGGCGTGGCTCAAAATTAAACAGCTGGGGTTAGCAGGGTTTATGTCTTTTTTTGATACACAAGTGACATTTTGGGTACCATGTATAGAGCCACAGCCACTTGACAATGTGGGCCCTTTTGCAACACTGACTCATCCTTGGTCATGCCTCCCAAGCTATCCTGGGTTTGGTGTTCGGGCTTTTGGCGCTCGAATTCTCAGTAGAAAGCCAACGGTGCTCGCTCAGGTTCCGGAACTTGTTTGGTGCAGGCGGGACCTTTTCTCTGCCCGCGCTTCGCAGACGAATCCCCCCCCCCCCTTCTTGGAGATTCCATGGTCCACTGGCCCTTTGTTGTCTCATACAGACCATTTAAGCATTCAAACACTTATCTTTGTGGTTCCCAGCCATCCCCTTAGCTTGTTAGCCTTTTAGTGTTTAGTGGGGATTTTCATTTAACCCACTAAAAGAGAAAAACTTTTAGCGGGGGATCTGAGGGCAGCCCAGTTTCGTATCTCGGGCGTATCAAGCGCCCAAGCGACTGGGTCGCTTGAGGATGGCTTCCTCTGCGAGATGTGTGGATGGACCAAATACACCACTTTGAAGCCATGGGAAGCCATTGTTTGCTGGTTACGGGGGAAGCGAATCATTCCAGGGTTTCTTAGGTGGGGCAGGATTTCGTCCACAGTAGGGTGACCACCACTGGGTGATTGGAGGTGTTCCGGGCTCTATTAAGAGGGTTTTGCTGGGGGACTCCTAATGGTTTCTAGCCATCAAATGCCCCGCAAAGTGGACGATGCTTCCCGGCCACGGCCCGTCTGAAAATCGCTCTCTTCCAGATGAGCCAAACAAAACTCGTCTTCCCTTCCTTACTTCCAGCCACGAACACAGCCCTCAGCAACTGTCAATATTCGCTTGCTTCCGTACTGAAAGAGATGGATGACTTTTGGGTACACAAAAGCATGCCAGAAGACACTGGCGGTCACTCGCTAAGTTTTCATAGAAGGGCACAATGAACACTGACCGTGGCTCGCATGCGTCATTCATGGCCACCTGTGTGTTTGCATGGGACTCTTCATGAAACATACCAGGAGTCTCTCTATGATGTTTACATCTTAAGAGCACGCGTGGTTTTCCTTTGCGAAGCCCTTTTCGGTGGGTCTCAAGGTGTTCTAGTCTGAGCCAAACATAGAGGAGGTAACATATTTGGATTTTGCTCGTCTTCACGGTTATTCGCATATTTTTAGGTTGTCATTGTCAGGTCTTCTGGTTCTGTTTCAATTTTTAGTAGGGGGCTGCAAGAAACAAAGTTGCTACCAAAGGTTGGAGACTCGTGACCAACAATGGAGCAATCAATAAACTGTGCGCTTTGTTTCAGAGGGCCTACCAGCAACCATTGTTCTTCGCCATTGGCCCGAAAGCAATGCTTTGCATGGAGTCACTCCGCCAGCCATCGACTTCCTTCAGATGCAAGTTGAAGGGGGGAGCTGTTTCAAGGGTTGCAGATGTGGCCATATGGCCATGGGTCAAAATTCCTTACCCCCCAGTGAACATCCCAATCCAACCACTAAAATAGACTAAAATGGGTGGTGCGCCTACCCCAAAAGGCTACCATTGGTTTTGACCCACAGCCATATGGGTTCTGGAAATGGGAACCTACGCAACATGTGCTGTGCTTTTTGGTCTTAAAAATCCCCAGTGTTGCACATGGCTTGGCCCCGAGAGAGTGGAGCTGAGCGCATCGCCGCATCGCCTTCCCCGGCTCTTTCACCGCAGCTTGGGTCCACAAATTCCGACAGCGGTGCGCCAACTGAAAGCTCGGTGAACTCAAAGAAGTTCCACTGATCTGAGTGTCGCCTCAGCGGTCAGCTCATGACATGAGGCTAACTTACGCTTACTATTTGAAGACTTCCATGACCAGACAGTTCTGGCACTTTGGCGCATGCAGCAAAAGGCACGAGCATTTGGGCGCCGTCCGTCAGACGGCCGGACGTTTTTTTCTTCTTTTGCGATTTTGTCATGGAGCGCGCGAGGGCGCTTTCCTGCTGGAATGGCAAGGAGGTGGGAGGTGTCCAAGCCTGGGAGGGGTTGCCTCGAAAAGAACAATTCCGTAGTGCCCTTTTACCTTTTTTGGGGAGGGTTCCCCTACTAAAATAGACTACAGAAAAAGGGCACCCTTATTCTAACCTCTTTACTGGAGGAGCTAGCATGTTGCAAAAATTGCGGAACAACAATATTAGTTGATGTTAGTTGTAAGCAACAACAGAAGCATTCCAGCGGACGCCAAAAGGTGTCATCTTCTGGGATTATGGGGGAGTTTTGATTCCCTGCGCAGGTCAGAATTCTTGGCTTGCTCAGTTCCCTGCTTTCGGCGGGTACTTGAACCTGCGAGCTTTCTGGACATGGACGGCTTCCCCACTTGCAACCAACAAGGGTCAAGGACCAATGATAACCAATGATAACCCATATCACCAACCGGTTCTGATGTTGCTGGCTTTCCGGCGCTGGGTTGGGAGGTTTGGTTTCGGCGATCTTCGAGCTCCCTGTAAGTCGACATTCATATCCAATTGAAGATAAGTACATGTGAAACCTCGACCTGGGGTTGATTATGCAAGGCGTGGAGTTGGACAGCTCAGGCCACACCAGAGGTACTCGGTTGACCGTCAACAGTTCTGAACCCCCGGAGCCAAAGACCATAAAACAGTCGGACACACAGGCCATCTGAGACTCATACTGTCCGTTCATTTTTTTGGGTCAGAAGCGCTTGCACTTCAAGGCCGGCCTGATCGTTGGATTTCCAATCTGCCATGTTCAGTCGAGTTTCCTTTCAAGATGAACCAATTAGTTGCTTCACCGGGTCCTTTCATTGCAACTCGGACCGGCTTCCTTTCCTTTTTGTACACCCCCTCCCACCCCACCCCCCCCACCCCCTCCTACCAATTGCATAAACCGCCAATCTTTGGGGTCCGCAGAGGTTTCCTGGCCGAAGCGCCAGGTGGTGGTGCGCCCGGTGGGGGAGGTACGAGAAGAGCTGCACTTGGGCGAGGGCCGCACCAACCAGAACTTCATTGCGCCCCGTTCGTGGCGATTTTTCGATGTCGTGGGTGGGGTGGAGTGGGGTGGAGTGGGGTGGGGTGGGGTGGTCTAATTTCTGGGGTGTTCGGCCGGCCAAGTTCGTTGAAACTGGCGCCACTTGGGATTTTTTCACCCCCTACAAGGTGATTAACCTTTGGGACCTGGGCGAAGTATGGACCAAAAAGGGTTGAAAGCCAAAAGGTCCGATCCGTTCAATCCGCCTGGTTGCATAAGCATCGTCTTGACCTTTCCTGAGAAAACCGCAAGAGGCACCGGTCGATTGACCTTGACACACAGGTGGGTCTCTCTGGACTTCCCCCCTTTTTGGGAGCTCCAAAAGTGGTCGGCTTGGAATCCACCACCTTGATCAACTTTTGAAGGGGCTAAAGCCAGTGACCCCGGTTTTAGACCATTTTCAGTGACGGTCACTGGACTTCCCCTCAAAGGTTGATCAATCTGGGGCATTTCACCCCCTAACGAGGCAAAACCCAAGAAGGGAACCCCCCCCCCCACTCGAACATGCGGCGATTTGCCATTAGTGAGAAGCTTCCCCTGGACTTGCGCCCACCAAGTTTGCGGGTACCGCCAAAGAGGGTACGTTTTTGTTTTGGAGGGGGGGGTCCAGTATGTTTTGGGCTGTACCCACAAATTCGGGGTGGTTCTCAAGGGAAGCAAAAAGACACCTTTTGAGGCAACCCACTAAACTGATGCTTTTCAGCTTGGATTTCCAAGTGCACCCAGAATCCGACTCATCTCCAAATAAGGGATGTCTTTTCGCGAAAAACCTCACGGAACATGTGGCTGTGTGTGTTTCCTTTAAACGCTACCCAACAAAGAAAGGGCGGTCTCAAAATAGTGAAACCCCAAATGGGTCAGTGCGTTGAGCAAAATCAAAGGGTTCCTACGTCTCTACTAAGCAGGGCACCGACAAAACCCACAAAACACGTTTTCACAAGTCAGTGGTTGGCTGTGGGTTTCCCCTGATTTTCCTTTGAAACAAAAACTGCTGTTGTCTGCCGTCCCCCGAGAAAAAAAGCGCTTGAAGATGAGTGGCTTCCATATACTTTCGCCTTTACGGTAACAACACTCCGGCCAACATGGTTGTGTGTCATTTATAGTTTATGTTAGTTTCCTTCTACAGCAAACAGATGCCAGCGACCAATGACCCCCTTTGCTGAAGTGGTGACTTTTGCTATCTCACCCATGATGAGTTGGTTTGTTTCCGGGAGATCTTTCAAAGGGAGACATGACGGCTCAGTACATGAGTCTTTTGATTCCCTGCAAGCACCGTGGGACTCGCGCAGTTTCTCGCTAACCTCCCTCGGGGGAAAGCCAAAGGGTCCCTTGACTTTCACTTAGTCTATAGTCATCGGACATCTTCTGAGATACCCAGCCGCCGCCTTGCAGGAGGCCGAAATGAATATTTTTAGACGTTTCCCTGGTTGGCCTTAAATGGAATCGAGTTCACTGGACATACTTCTCATGTTTTGGGGACTTGTTCCAGAAATGGAGGCCTTCCATTTGTTTAAGAATATGTGTTTTTAAGTTTCCCCTTGGTTTTAAAAGGAGTCGATCACTACTGGAGATGTTTTTTCCAGGTGGCTCAAGCAATGGAAGTGGGTGAAGTCGCCGGCCCAGGCAGACTGCGAGGGCGCCCGCTGTTTCGTGCGCGTGGGCAGCGACCTGCCCTTCTTCGGCGTGAACCGCGCCCGCGAGCAGGCGAGGGCGTGGCCGAGGCCGAAGAAGAAACGGATGGATCAGGTCTTCCTCCAGTAAAAGGGCCACAGCACTTTTTTCTTCTTCTTTTTTCTTTTTTCCGGAGGGGGGGGGGGGTCCTGAATTTTCCTCAATTTCTTTGCTCCTTTGGTTCCAACTTTGGGTTCGGATCCGTTCCCTTTCATTTTTTCGCCCACCGCAACGGACCCTCGGTCCGGATCCGTTTGGCCCGGCGCTCGGATCTCGGTGCCTCGAAGCATTCGGAGTCAGCCCGTGAACTCAAGGGGAAAGAAGACTTCACGTAGATGTGGCCACCTCTTGTGTGCACCCACAAGCCCCACACCCCACCCTTTGGAAGGAGGGGCGTATCCCAGATCCCCTCCCCCTACCTTTCCCCTTGTAAAGGCAACTGGTTTTGTCTCAAGCTAGGGCAACCCTCGGCCCCGAACCAGTGGGTTTCCTTTGGTTTCTGTTTAAAACCACCCCGAAACAGGGTGTCAACAAGAAGACAAGCCCGCATCACGGTGCAGGCAACCCCCCCAACTCTGGCTGGTTTGTGTAAAGGAAGCATGTGATTTGGCCCAACAACGAGCTGTTCCTCGGTCTGGGAGTACGCGGGCTTCCCGAAAGGAAACGGTAATTCAAGGGCAAGCATCCAACCAAAGCAACAACCATCCGGGAAAAAGAAACGACCAATGTTGAAAACAAAAATACGGCCGTGCGAAAGGCACGACAACAACAGCCATCCCTCACTGGCGTACATAGCCGGGGGGGGGATTCCAGGTTTGAGAAGGGATCCACGACTCCGCACCTTTGCCAGGCAGCCTCGAGGGCAGCTCACGCGGTGGGTGTGGGGCCAGCCGTGAGGCGACGGGATGGATGGCGCTCGGCCGGCGCTGCGCAAGAACGGACGCCAGGTCATGTTGCACGTTTCCTTTGTGTGTCTGTGTGTTTGCTTGTTTGTTTGCCTGCCTGGTTGTTTGTTTGCCTGACTGCCTGTTTGTTAGTGTGCGTGAGGCGTTTGTTGATTAGTCATGAACTATGTTAAACAAAAGATGAATGATGCAAGCAAATAGCCATCGAACGAACTACCACTTATATAATTATCATGTGTGCTCCAGACATTTCCCACATGTTTTGCCCCCTTTTCTCACAAAGAAAAGGTGTCTCAATGTTGAATACTGACAATGCCATATGTTAACGAACATTGATTTCGAATTATTTGTCAATACAAAAAGAACATTCTACGTGAATGTTGCCAGCACAATTAACTCATGCAAATGTGAACATTGAGATGGATGTGGAAATGTGATGATCAGGATGATGAGAATGTTGAACTCGATTGGCGTAATAATGTTGGAGTTATCAATGAATGGATTTATGTGCTACTGTTTGAGTAACATGGTTCAATAGCAGCAAACATCTTGCTCAACCGTCCAACCATGGGGTGCCCTGTTTTTGCAACCTGCTCAATCACACCAGCACTTCAAAAGAAGCAGAGCATCTAGTTCATCAACGCAAGCTGGCTCCCCACATGAAGTGAAGACAAGGGTTTTTCTTTTGGCCCGCTGCCACCGGGTGGGAGGGGCGGAGGCCGTGAGAGGGGCATCTAGTACAGGGTGTAGGATTCGTGGAGGTATGCCATGCTCAAGCAGAGTTCGGCGATTTCGGACCTTGTCAGCGACCAGAATCAGGATGTAGAATCAGTTCATCGAACCACACGGGTTTGTTACGAAACGATGCCTGGTTACCTGGTTGTTGCATGATCTACCAGGCAAACCCATCTATTTTCCCAAACAGATCCCTGCACTGTATGTTTGGGGCCCGTGGTTTGAGCCCCCGACATCCCAAATGGTCCCGTGATTTCGCATCACCAGTTTCAAAGCACTTGGGCGTGCACTATGGTTTTTGCCACCCATAAGACCAGAAAAAACTGGTAGCCTCACGGGGCGCCCTTGTCGCAGACAGGTTTCTTCTGACTTCCGACTTGCTTGGTTGCATTTGGATGGACACAGCAAACTGAGTTGTCTCAAATGGTTGGTGGACATAGATGCCCATGGTATGAATGTTAGCACGGGACCCTTTGGTGGACATCATCTAGGTGGGGATTCATGTCCACCACTGTTGAGCTGGTTCCCTGCAAAAGACATAGCCACGTAAATAATATCCACCAACGGGCCCACATTCCAAATGGGTATGGGTCAAAACTCGATATCCTTTCTTCCAAATCCAAAAGAGGGTTTCCCCCTCCCCCCAAGAAAGACAAAAAGCAACGCCCCGTGCCGTGGCGATGTTTGCAACTGGCTCCGTCGCTCTCGCGGGTTCTTTCAGGCATGCCGAGCCAGATGCCATGGTGGTGCCTGGGAAAGCATTGAACGCCCACGTCTCTGCTTTTATGGCGAGCTCACCTGCCGGAACGAGCACACCATGATGGTCCCTTTCGGGTTCTGGAATCGCAACACGTGCGAATATTTTCTTGGGTAAGTTGTTTCGTTGCTCGCCGGGGGCTTGCAAAACGAGGCCGCCCATGAGCCGGTTTGTCAGACGGGATTGAGACGCATGGGCCACTTTGCCTGCTGTGCGAAGCCGTTCCGCGGGGGCTCCCTTAGTTTCGGTTTGGGAATGAAAGTAATGTTGACCCCATATTAGTCAACCCCAGTCTACTAATGAATAGGGGGTGGTCCCCTCCAAAAGTGATGATTCCCCACTAAACCCAGGGACACCCTAGTAAGAAGCAGAGGTTGATCAATATGGGGTCAACATAACTCTGCCCAGTGTTGCCGCAAGGAAGAGGTTCAAATAGATGGTCCACCCTTTCGGTCTTCATGACGTGACGGAAATTGAGGGCCATGTACGTGAACCCGAGTGTAAAGGGAACTTGCCATAAGGTGCTACCAGAGGTTCATGTGAGTGTGTGTGTGTGTGCGTGTGTTTCTCTTGTTTGAGGGTACCGTTTTTGGGGTTGGTTTAAAGGAAAGCCAGAAGGAAAACCAAGATTTCAGGCTCCCCCGTTTTGAGCAAACTCCACATGTGCAGATTTCGTCTTTGCAAGTCCTTGACTGGAGACACCAAAATCCAACAGTTGACACACAGGGTGGAACTCTCAACTTGACATGGGTGTGGGTCAGGAATTGGACTGCAGGCTTTAGTCCCTGTCCATTCACAAGGATGCCATTTTGGGGTTACCCTATGCTCGACCCAGACATATCCTTGGAAGCCAAGGTCAATGGGTGTTTCCGAGTGCAACGGGATGCCTGGAATACCTGACTGGGTGCAGTAGAGAAATTGCTCCTTTACTCAAACTAAGGTGGACTTTGTGGACGGCAAAGCCCTCACAGAGGCGGATCCGCACAGATTCGCGGATAATCGGATGTTGAGACGTGAGCTCCGGGAGAGTTGGGGGTGAAGCCAACAGGCACCCCAACAAATGCAAGCAATTGTTCTCCGAAACGCGCTCGCCAAAGAGAAATCGCAAGTCAGGTAGGCCTCCAATTCAGGGGGGAAGGGGGGTTGTTCAAGCGAAAGGGGGGGGGGGATAAAACGGCATCCAGTTTGGGAAGGTTTTTGTATGTTTTCCCTAGCTTGCTTGCTCCTTGTTTTGACCGAAACTTCAAACCTTTTGGTAGACGTCAATGTTCTTTTTCAGCAAGCAAGCATATGTCTGTTTCACCAAGCCAGGACGCAGAGTTGGCTTGCCGTTGTGACTAGAAAAGCAACTTGGCGTGTATTGACAGTCAAACATAGGGGCCCACAATGGAACCCAGGCAAATGGGAAAGGACTAAAAGCTGCGGTCCCCTGGCCCGTATTTTTTTAGCCACATCCAGTTGCGTTGGTGGTCAACCCAAAAATGCGGGTGTGTCAAACTAAAGAAGTTGACCCTTCGAGGCTTTAGCCGGTTTAAGACCAGATCACAAGGGTGCAGCATTGGGTTTGGTTTCCTTGAGTTTTGCTCTGTCGTCCAAGTTTCTACCCTTCCGATGGGGTCTTTTTTTGGCAGCCTTGGCAGAGTGGGCCCCTTTTGGGGAAGTCTCGGGTTTTGATACATCCAGTGTTGATTCGCCTTTCCAAAACACCAAAAGCTGCCTCATGGCCACGGGGTGTGCTTCCTGTTCGTTGTCTTCAGGCCCGAATTTGGAAGTGCCCGTGTCTTGAGACATGTACCAAGTACTTCCAGCACTGTCTCGGAACATGAGTGCGTTTTCAGATTGAAGGATTCCAAACCTAACGCCAAGACATCAGAAGACCTGTCACCCTTAGAGCAAGTGAAGCATGTATTTTCCTTCCAGGGTCGCTATATTTATCTATACCGGTGGGGTGCTTTCGCCATAGGCTTGGAACGACCCATTTTGTTTGCAACCACTTTGGGTGTTTTCGGGTTCTCTGCCAAACTTCCTTTGAGTATCTCACTTCCTGTGTCGCTTTTTGGGTTTGGACCATTTTAGTGGTAAAAGCAACTCAAGAAGCGAGCTGTTGATCTGAATTTCGCAACACGATCCACACACCATGGTCAATGGGGTTTTCCTGCTTCCCTTGCTTTTCTCGGCGCGCGCGCCCCCCCCCCCCCCCCGTCACCCGGTTCTCGCTGGCCGCCTGGGCCATCGCCAGGAGGACCTGCACCGCGCGGGCGCGGAGGGCCCGAGGAGCGTGCTGCTCGCGGCGCTGGGCAAGACCCTCAGGGCCTTGCACGACGCCCCGGTGCCTCCGGAGCTTGAGGCGCGCTGCACCTCGCGGCGAGTCGGTGAGGTTGGGAATGGTTTCTGTCAGGTCCGAGCCATTTTCCCAATTTTTGGGAACCTGCAAAAGTGGGCAAACTCAATGAAAACTGCTGGACAATTGCAACTCTTGATTTGGGAAACTCCAGCAACCCCTGTTTGCGTTAACAGGAAGGGTCATACTGCTAATGATCCTGAACCGTTATGATTCCTCACTCACTGACTCTCACTGACTCACTCACTCACTTGCAACCAGAGCGAATCGACCGGATCGGACCTTGTAGTTTTCATCCCTTTTGGTCCAGAAGGGATGTCTGTTTTTTGGGTGGTCACGGAATGGGCTAGATACGATGTGAATTTTGTTTCCCAAACTTGGTTTTAAGATTGGCGTGGTTCACCTTGGAGTCGAAGATTTGGGGAAACCTGGGGATCCCCTAAAGGAAGCCCAACACTTGCTGGTCTTAGGACTACTTTGGGCGGTTTCCCACCAAGCCACAAAGGAGCCCTGGGGAACGAAGCACATCCCCGAAAGAAAACCATGCTGAAAGCCAGCCTGAGAATTCGGGGATCGATCCCGTTGACACGTCGGTTGAATTCGCCTTGTGTTCGGTTCAGTTTGATTGAGGACATCGAGGAATGAAGGACCCGTACGTTAGGAAACTTTGTGGTTTGACGCTACCCCCCAAAAAAAAGGAACTTGGGTAAGTCGACTGCCCAGTGGGGGAATTTTGAGAACGGGCTTCCGGAAGAAGCCGACTTGGATATTTCATGGAAGTCGAAGTATGGTGCCCGCCTTTGCAGGGCCCAACAGAAACGAGTCTGCATACGTTTTCGAGAGAGTAGGCCCCGGCAGGTCGCCGCAAGACATTGGGAGCTGCTTGCTCTATTACTCTTGCAATGCAAAGCTTGTCAACCTTCACCAGTGTTTGGCAAAAGCATATCGGTGCTGAAGCACGCTCTGACCTGAGGTTGGCAGGGATGGTCATCCCCTCCACCCGAAGAACATCAAAAGAGGAAAAGGAGGCTTGAACTGATCGTTCGGGGGTTACTGGTTGCAACTGAGCCCCTTTTAACGTGCTGCAAAGACGTTCCAACCGATTCTGAATGAGAGCCTGGGTTCCTAGCAGCTGGTTTTCTTTTGAGGGCACCAAACATCCCAACCTGGTGGGAAGGAGCTGGGGTCTAGTCTTCAATCAGTGATTCACCTGTACGGATGTACCTGGGTTGTTTACCTGGTACGTCTTTTTTCGGGTTTTCGGACCCCCACAAAAACCCAAAGGACCAGCCCCGCCCGCGAGTCGCGAGTCCTTCGCTCGCTGCAGAGAGAGGCCTTCCGGGAGGAGGTGGGCTCCGTCGGCTGGGGCGGGCCCCACCTGGAGAAGTGGCTCCGCTACGCCGAGGCCGGGGGGAAACCGCCGGGTTTCCGGGGGATCCGTCTTGGTTTTGCTCGGAGAGAAAAGCGGGAGGAGCGCTTGGCTCGTCATGTTTGGAGTTGGTAGCAACCTTCGGTTAATTCTTGAGGGGAACCAAGAGCTTGCTGGTGCCTCAGTAGGTAGGGAATGACCTTCTTCCAAGTGTTGGGAATGAAGCGTTTGGGGGGTTTTCCCTCAAAGGAAACCAAATCGGATGGATGAATTTTCTACTGGCCAGCAAGAAAAACGACGACGCCGGGCCGCAAAATACGCGGGAGTGGGTTTTTCAGTGGATCCCAGTTGCCGAAAACTATAGTAGGTAACCAACAACTGTCCTCTTGGTTTTAAAGGGTGGTTCCCTTGGTTCCTACGCAGGTAGATGGAATCACTTGGCTGGAAGGGGGCACCTCAAAATGGGTCGGCACTCAATTGTTGGCCCAAAATTGCGGAATGGGGTATTGAGTGGTTTCCTTGCAACAGCACCCCCCAGGAAACCAGCAAGCCGAAAGAAAGCAAGCGCTGGGGCAGTTTGGTTGGGGATGGACGGGGAGAAGGTTGAAGTTCCACTGTGGATGGAGGAAATCCATTTTGCACTGGAGGTTCCTTCCAAAAGCAAAGATAGCGCCTGCACAGTTGACCCCGGATTTCAAAAAGCCTGGTTGATTTTGATCCGGGGGGTGTGCCCTTGTAGTGGGGATCCTTCACTTTTGTATTGATAGTATGAAGCCGGAGTTCCACTATGGCTCTTCCTCAGGCTTGAAGGGTGGGAAACCTGAAGAATCCCCAAGGGCCAGACCCGCCGCAGGGGGCATATCGCTATTCACGGGGGTTATGCTGCTTTTTTCTTTGGGCGAACATCACCTTTTGGGCTGACTTGAAGGGAGAACATTCTTGGGCTGTGAGGTCTAGATGGGCTGCATGAACCCAGCAAACTCCTGGCAAAAAGTCAGTTTGTTTATTGTAAGGAGCAACTTTCTGTTGTGCCAGAGACTTGAGTGCAACCCGAAACCATTTGGCTCCCCTTTCGGAGGATTCTCGATGGCTGTCTTAGTCGAAACATTCAAGTGGCGGCATGCCACACTGCCTTCGGCAAACGGACCCGGAAACCTATCCGGGAAAATGTATGTAAACAAGAACTCGCACGCAGCACATATTACCCAAACTGGCCAAACTAACCTCACCCCGCTTTGGGACCCCCCCCCCAAGCGCACCACCGCTTGCACCCCTTACTCCCACCCTCTTGGCTAGAGTAGCTTCGACCATTTGTGTAGCTCTGAGTTGCTGTAGGGGTTACCTCAACTACGGACCGGGAGTCTTTTGCTTGGTGGCTCCTGCGATCGCCTTAGCTTTTTAGCCTTGTATTTTTTAGTGGTGGTTTCCATTTAACCCACTAAAAGTTAAGACCTTTTCGTGGGGGATCCGAAAACGGGCAGCCCAGTTTGGTGAAGCATTGGACCCAGGGCAAAAAGCGTCGCCTCAGGACCAGAAGTACTCGCGCCTGCCGCTCCTGGCCAACCTGCGGGACTTCATCAAGCAGCTGGAGCACGCGGCAGGCCGAACGTGGCGACACGCGTAAGACGGGTTGGCTACAGGGGGAAGGCCTGTAGGATACCTGTCTTGGCTTGGTTGAGGGAATTTAACGGGTCAGCCCACCCATTTGGAGTTCCCTTTCTTGGTTTCTCATGTGTGTGTGTGTTCCAGTTGTTTTGATTTGTTTGGTTTTTGGACTTTGGCCACTTTTCCGAGACCTCAATTGACCTCGGGCATGATCAACGTTGCTGTCATGGGGGCCCTCGTTCTGTTGTGATTCAAGTATTCATCTCCCAGACTTTCGGGAGACCCATATATAGCGGGAAACAAATAGATTGGAAACTTGATATTCGCTGGTGGTCTCTGAGTTGTTGAGCGGTCCAAAGGGACACTTGTCGCCAGGGTGGTTCAAAGTGGGGCGCTAGGGAATTTCTGCGGGTGTTTCTGGGTACATGGGGGCGTCTCAATTGGGGTGTAACCAGACAGCTGCAGGCCCCTTGGGTCCCAACAAGTTTTGCCACTTCGACCTGCTTGCGGACAACTTGGTGCTGAAGCTGCCTGGCCGCGCTGTAATTGGCTGGGGCGTTTGTTCTGCGAGTAAATATGTGTGCCAATCTGAATGGGCGACCTCATGTGTCATGGACATCATTCACAGGGGAAAGTTATGCCCATCAACAAGTTTGGAGGGTGCTCCTCAGGAGTACTCAGCAAAAGGACACATATTATGGCTACAAATTCCAGTTGCGGATCCTGAGATTATTCTCCATATTAACGTAAGGAAAAACCACTGTTTTGGGGCCTACTCCTGGTGAAAGACACGCCCATATGGCTGGGAGCTTGGGCTAAAGTGTTAACCGCAGGTGGTCGCTTGTCTTGACTCTTTGTAAGTGTCCACTTGGGCCACCATTTTGGCTCAAGTGGGCACTTCCCTTCTGTCTTGGAATCTGAAACTTCTCATTCCCCTCCTATCAAAGCCATGTACGCCCCCGCCTATGCTGGTGCCGCGGTTGCAGAGGCTAAGGCGAAGGCAAAGGCATCCATGGCGAAGTACCTGGCAAGCCTTGTGAAAAAGGAGGAAGAAGGTTGGACCGTCCTGGCGGCTGAGGTCCCTCAGGCACCGGACGAACGGTTCTTCTCCAGCGCCGACGAGCTGGAGCAAGCCCCACTCATCCCAGCCAAGCGTAAGGCCGAGGACGAGCTGATGGCGGACTCCTCCCCTGGGGTGGCGCAGGTGCCGAAGGCCCTGACACGCCCCCCAGGGGCGTTCCTGGAGCTTCTCGACCCTCCAGAGCCGGATGTTCCCATGGAGGAACTCCTGGCGGAAGACGAGGAGGAGCCCCCGATGGAGGAACCCCTGGTGGAAGATGAGGTGGACCCCCCGATGTCCGACACCAAGTGGCAGGGACGCCAGGACCTGATGGAAAAGGCCAGGGCGCAGGGTCCTCGGAGGGGGATGAGCCCCCCTGCCAGGGGGAAGCGTCTTCACCAAGGCCCTCAAAGTCTCTGAGGGCCTTTACCAATTCAGTGCGGACCAGATGGCGGGCGACTTCCCGTGTTTTGATGCGACCACGGCCACCAGGCTCCGCCGACTGCAGGCCAAGGATGTCCAGCGGCTCCTGAGAGGCTTTGAGGGCCCCCAACTCAAGCAGGGGGGCCTGGAGCGCGTGGTGGAGGCGTTCTACATCGCCAAGATGAAGTATGAGCATGAGGCCCTGCTCAGCACCCCGGGACAGAAGGTTGGCAAGCGCGCTGGCCTGGGGTATGGGGGCCTGGAGAACCGCCCCCTGGGTAAGGAGCCCACATCCTGGATCTGCCCCTGCTGCACCATGCCCTGGGTGAAGAAGGGCGCCAGGAAGTGTATGGGGTGCGGCAAAAAGACGGAGCCCATCGACACGGCGTCCAACTTGGCCACCCTGGAAATGGCGGGCACGCACTGGCAGCTGACAGTGGATGACCAGGGCAATGCGGTCTGGACGGCGGCCCGGTCCGCAGGTGCCGATGGCCCTGATACGGACCGGGCCCGCGACCTCAAGCTCAGCGCCTCGGTGGATGTCAGCGAGCTGGCCACCGACCCGATGGCATGCGAGAACCTGGACCAGGCCAGCTTCTCGGATTTTGTCCCCTCCTCGGTCCGGGCGGTGATCAGGAACTGCCCCATGGAGCTGGACGAGGATTTCCTGACGGCCCCAATGGGGGAAAGGCCCCTGTTGCCGGGCGACAAGGAAGAGGGCCAGGAGTGCAGGGCCTTCCACCCATCGGCAGTGAAGGCCTTCAAAATCCAGACCCGGCTCAACGCCACCACCATCGCCCAGGAGGAGGCCAAGAAGGCAGACCAGGTGGCAGCGGTGGAGCGATCCGCGGCGGTCCTCCACGAGCTTCAAGGAGGGGCCATCGATGGAGGAGGCGATGGGGGCCAACTCCTCAAGAATTTGGACTTGGACCTCTTCCGCGAGAAACTGCTGGATAAGCTGGGCGCGGACTGGGGGAGGCCCACACCGGAGCTCCTCCAGGCCCAGACCACTGCGGAAGAGGCGAAGGCAAAGCACCAGGCCAGACAAGCGAAGGGCGCCCTCGAGACCAGAATGCTCGAGCCCATCAAGCCTCCATTCAGTGCGTGGCCTAGCGAGGTCCGAGTTGCCATTGAGACAGGGGTCTTTGAGCCGACCACGGCATGGAGGGATTTCAGCATGGACGACCTCACGTCCCTCACGGACTCTTACCTCGAAGCCAAGGCGGTCATCTCGCTGGGTAGGAACCCCTTTCCGGCGGCCCTCCTGGCAGATCTGCCGGATCTGGCGGGGATCCCCATTCCAAAGGCGGGGGGCTCTGGTGCGGCGCGCCCAGGTGCCGAGGGCCCTGACAGGCAGCCCACCATCCCCCCAGCTTCGGGCTCTGGTGCGACGAGCTCAGGTGCCGAGGGCCCTGACAAGCCGTCCGCCACCCCGGGGGGCCTGGATACCCAGGACCCGGAGGTGCAGCTCGCGGTCCTGCGCTGGATGATGAGCAAGCGTGTCGGAGAGGTCCGCATCTTTGCGGGCCGCTGGGTCCGGGCCCCGTACACGTCCCGGACTGGGCCAACAACCTCACCAAGGTGAATCCGGAGGCGCTGGAAAAGGGTACGCATCCCAGGAACCACCAGGCGGGTGGACTCCCATGGGCCAGGTACTCCGTTGAGGAGCTGAACCAGCAGGCCAAGGCGGGGGACCGACCATACCCCGAGGACCTGCGATCCATCTTCTGGGCGGCCCCCCACGATCCGGAGGAGGACTTCCACTGGGCGCGCCAGATCTCGTCCTGGACACTCCCAGGCTTGCTGGGGATGTTTGGTCACAGCTTCACTCTGCGCCAGCTCTGGGGAGTCTGGGAGTCCCTGCCATTGCTTCAGGGCCCTAGACAGCGGGGCCCGAAGAACAAGGCCCAGAATCAGATCCGCCTGGAAGGCTGGGAGACCCTGAAGGAAGATGCTCGGTGCTTCCTGAAGGAGGAGGGCCTTCCGCTTCCGCAGACAGGACCGGAGTGGCGCCTGGTCTACCGGGCCATGGGCAAGGTCCTTGCGGCCCGGGCCTTCCTCACGGACACCCCGGCGGAGGTAATGCAGCTCCCGGTCCAGGACGTGGCGGACTCCAAGGAACAGATGATCCTCCGGGCGGTATGTGATGAGCGCATATCTGTCCCGGTGGAGAGTCTCCAGCAGTTCCCAGAGGTGTACCAGGCCCTCATGGACCGCATTGGAGGCCCGGGGGCCCTGGCGGAAAGTCAACTGGCGCTGCAACACGAAGCAGTGGTGGGTCGGCGCAGTCCCCGACTCAGTGGCCCCCTCCATCTACCGCAAGCTTGGCTACACCAACGACATGATCAAGCTGATGGGCCTGGACCCCTCCGCCCCCGGGTGCCGGACAGGTGCCGATGGCCCTGACATCCGCCCCAGGGGAGGAGAGGGCGATGAGGGGATCGTCTACCCCCCCATCACATCGGACAACGTCCACGGCGTGGTGGGCAAGGATTACAAGAAGAAGAACTTCTCGGCAGAGACGAAGCACGTCTTCTGGGCGCACATGGAGTGCGGCCTGGTTCTGAGCTCAGTCACCCCATGGGAGCTCATCCCCAAGACGAAGGGGGAGACCCGGGGGGGCTATATGTGCAAGTACTGCAAGGGGTACTGGCGCGCCGGGGGAGGGGGCACTCGCCTCCTCCAGATCCGGGCCGGCAAGGCCATCCTTCAGCTGGTGCTGGACGAGCCGCCCGATGGACTGTACAACCGCTGGGTCAAGGAACGGCTGGAGTTCTACCGCCGGGTAGAGCCGTCTGCCCCGCTGCGGGATGTCTCCGTGGTGGACCAGAAAGTCCCACGGTTTAGGTTCAGCCACGTCACCCAGACCGGCCATGTTTCAGATGCCATCTGGGAGCTGATTCTCCGGAACCCGGAGGCGGCGGCGCTCAAGCGCATTGACGACATTGCCAAGGGGGCCGTGTGATCATGCAGCACTGCGGCCATCCGGAACGGACTCGCAGGGCACCCCGGGGGAGGACAGCTGCCGATGGCGCTGATATCCCCCCCGGGCACAGCACAGGCCTTGACCTGTACCAGGCGAGAAAAATGGGCGCGCTTGGGCTGGTCCGGAGTGCGCCTGGGCTCCCCCCCTCGTTTGGTTTTTCCCTTTCCGTGGAGGCTCCCCGGGTCCCCCCCCCCCCGTTTTCGGGTTTGGCTTTCCGGGGTTTTGGGGCCCCCCCTGTTGTTGGGTTGGGGTTGGCGCCTAGAGATTTGGCTCCGGGCTCGAGTGGATCATGATGATGTGGAGGCCCCGCCTCCCTTCCCCGTTTGGAACGACCTTCCTAGGGGTCCCAACCGCGGTCCAGTTGATTTTGCATGACCTTGGATTTGCACCAGTGCAGTCGGACGGGGAAATCCTCGTGGCGTGCTGCCTGGAATGGGTCAAAAAGGACCAGGTTGCCAACCCGGATGCGGTGGTCTTCGACCCGCGACCGTGGACACGAATCGTGGGGATGGCACCCGACGATAACCATGTCCTGGTGGCCTCGGACACCTACAACTTGATCCTCGCAAGGATACTCGGCTCCCAACCACAACCGCTGGAGGAGGCGGATTTGGAGCTCGCTACTAAGACCCTGCAGCAACTTCTGTTTCGTGCGGCAGGCGCTAGACAATCGTACACCTATTCTCCACTGGAAATGGAACAGGCCATCCGGGACCGTGAGGAGTGGATCCTCTCCGGATCGATTGAGGCCCCGGATGTCCTGGCAGTGGCCAACAAGTGGCGGCATTGGAAACCAGGGAAGATCAAAACCCAACTGCCGACATCCCAACGAGCGTTGGAACAGCACTTGAGGGCCAGGTGGCTGGAACGCCTCCTGGGCTACTTCATTCCCTTCCGCCACCAGATCCCCTACATGCACCAGGTGATGGGGGCCAAGGAGCTGGAGGAGTTCGGCCACCTGTTTGGAGATGCCCGTTTCCGGACCATCCGAGCACATTGCTTGGCCTATGAGGGCATGCGCAAGATCGGCTTCCAGAACCTCCCCTGGACGGCCGGG